AAAAAAAAAAAAAAAAAAAGAAAGGAGACATCATAAAAGAGATTTTCTAAATTTTACAGAATAAAATATCAGATAAGAATATGGTTATAATTGACTAGATATATGCATAAGATGGTCCCATTCAAAAACAGATATAAGGACCTTTCATTCATAATGGCACATGTAAATTGAATTGACTGGAGTTACAACATAATTTTTATCATATGCATATAAACAATAAAATAATAACGACAAACGGAAATATATTGAGAACACGAGATACCAGCAAAACACGCCGCAGAAGGTATATGGAAGCTCGAAAATGCAAACTGTTGTTGTATCCAAATTAAAGTTATAGTTTCTATTAATATGACACATCCTGCTTCATAGTTCAAAAGCAAATTCTGATCTTCACAACATTTTCTTTTCTTTAAATTTTTAACTTTTTATAAAAGATCGAAAATTAAGAAACAGATTATGCTTTTGGCATTCAATATTTTCTTCTTAACCAACATGCACAAGCAACCATTATACTAAACACATTAGTGACTCATAAAGTAAATTAAAAGGGTATCACAAAGCCATGAGCTTAAAAAATTCAAAGAATTTATGGAGAAAAAAAAAATAAAAAGAATCCTAATTGCAAAGCATTTCTTCCCAAGTCCATGAAGAATCAAAGAGAAATATCGTTTTATGAGGACAAAATCAAGAAGCCACATTTCTGATTCTACTTTGTATCAAACAATGGAAAGAACTACAGACCAAAAACACAAGCTCTCAATCTAAAATACTCCACCCCACAAGAATAAGTATTATGTGTGTGTGTGTATGTATGTATATATGTACCTCCCAAAAACTATGCAACAATCTTGATTCACGCCTTTCTCGTAACCTATCGAACATCAAAGATAAATGGCCCTACCGCTCGAAACCTACACGAGTACCACAAGGAAAAGCCTTTACATGCTTAACTATAGCTAAAAGATAACCCGAAAGTACATAGTGTTCATTGATTAAAGGCAGCTCGTGTTCGATCAAATGGATGATGGCATGGGTAAACGGGGGCACACGAAGCTAAACCGAAAAGGGCTCAAAGTGAAGTGTGTATTAAGATGTGATCTGACTCTGGAAAGCTGAAAAGAGTTGAAACTAACAAAACAACAATGTCAAGGCACATAAAAGATCATTAATTTAACATGGGTTAAAGAAAACAGAGAGAACCTTGAGCACTCTTACATGGAATTCCACAAACACAAACTATGGATGATTCAGTAAAGTGTGAGCAGATTATAAAACTAGAAGATATACACACAAAAATCCAAAGATTAAGCCTTGAATATTCTACATTTATTATAATTTAATCATAAACCCAACAAAAAAAAAAAAAGTGAAAATGAGAAAGGACAGACAAACACCTAATGAAATTAAAGTTGCTACACTTGCTCAGATCTTTGTAACAAGATTCTACCTTTACCAAATTGCAAGAACAGCATCGAATAAAAAAAAGGGCACCTTTTAGTTAAAGTGGAAATGAGCTTTCAGGGGAAAAGCGGGTGTGGCGTCACCGCGCCGGAAAACCAAGAACCGGCCAGGGAGATGACGTCATTCGCCGGAAAATGGAGGTGTTCCGACAGGAAAAAGGGTGAGCAAGGGATGAATCAAAATCCATATGTTAGGGCTTTAGATTGAGAGTAGAAGAAAAGTAGAAAAACAAAGAAAGGTGAGCACAAAGAAGTGTACGCGTGAAAATCACGAGTCAATTGAGATTTTTAAGGACTTTTTAAAACTTTTTAAATTTGATGACTTTTGTGGATTTTGTAGAACTTTCATGACTTTAGTAGACTTTTTGAGACTTTCAGAGAATTTTCATTAGTGACTTTTCAAGAATTTCATAATGGACTTTTTAAAACTTATTGAGACTTTTATATACTTGCAGTTATAATATTATGTTTGAATAAAATATTAATAAACGTAACATAATAAGCAATATAAACAAGAATAAATGAAAAAAGATATTGTATATATTAATCCTCTAAATTTTATGCGAAATGAGTTATTCACGAACAAATTGTTTAGGATTTTAAATTTATTAAACGAGTAAATCGATCAGCTTCAACGAGTCGAATTGAGCAGAGCCTTATATTTGTTTGTTAAAAGAGTACAAGCTCAAATATGTGCTAGATATCTCTGCTATAACGACACTTATAATCAACTCAAATTAAGATATATTTATTTAATTATTGACTGATTTTATTCAATATTGTTTTTGCATAATGTTGTTATATTAGAAAAATATTATTAGGATATATTTTTACAAGATACAAACATTGCCAAAGAACAGTAATTGTATCTTATAAAATTATCAAAAATATTCAAAACATTTCAATATTATCAAATAAACTATTAGAAAATAAAATAATTTTATTAATATTTTGAAATAAACATTTACAAATAAAAAGAAAAAAAATAAATTATTTGCAAGTGAAATTATGGAACCATTAACCTTTGAAAAGTCAAATTCACAAGATAGCAAAATGAGAGAATAAAGGTATACACACATAAAATAAGCATAATAAAGAATACATAAAATAAAAAGATCACATTACGTA